AGGGCTAGCAGGTTTTCTGGCTCTGTGGAGAGTTCACTGCAGCTGAGTTCTCTGCCTGACTCAGTGTGAATTCTGGTCACCCTGGCCCAGTGACTCTGTCTGCACCTGCGGGGTAAGGTCAGCCTGAACAGGAGGTCTGAGAACAAGCTCATTCTGAGAGTTTACCTCTGCACATTTCAATCTTCCCTTCATTCTTGCCACAGGGCGTTTGGGAAGAAGGACTGGGATAAGAGGCAGTGGTGACACTGGACGGAAATGCCCAAGGCGGTTCCCACAAAGTCAGGCACTCTCCCTTGTCTCCTCTGGAGCGATGCAGTGAAAGCGGGTCTCGAGTTGCTTGGAGCTATATCCCAGGATATTTTTAAGCATCCAATTTATATCCCTAACACGACTTGCCTTGGGTCACATAAAAATAAGCCAGTGATCCTTGGGTGAAAGCCCAGGGTCCATCGTCCTTTCGCTGCTGATAAACTCACCCAGGAACTGAGCTGGGTGGGAAGGGCTGAGCTGGTCTTCATGCCTGTCTACAGCACAGATGTTATCCTCAGTGAGGAGTGCAGACAGTCCCCAGCTTACGGTGGTCTGGGTTGCCGGTTTTCAACTTCATGGTGGTGTGAAAGTATCACTCTGTCAACAGAAACCGTACTTCATATTTTGGATTTTGATCGTTTCCTGGACTGATGCTGTGCAGCTCAGTACTCTTGAAGTTTGGGACAAAGTCAGTGGGCTCTGGCTCCCAGTGAGCCTGGCAAACCCAAGGGGAAACAGCCCCACCATGTAGTAGACTCATTGCTAAGCCAGCAGGCTCAGTAGGTTAGGGGTATTCGGTTCATGTTCCACTTATCCCTGTGGGGAGACCACCCCTAGGGATGGAGGAGGACATGGAGTTCAGAGTGCACAGATCCAGATCTGGGGAACTCCTGAGAGCCTGGAGTTCCATATGGCACTGGCTATTCTCCACACGTCTCCACTCCTGTGGTGGCTCAGAGAGGCATGGATAGACTTCTAGCCCCCAGTGCCAGGAAACAGGCAGTGGGGAGAGCTGAGAGGGGTGGGGTCACGGAGTGTACTGCCACCCGCTTGAAGGAGAGCAGCAGCAGCTTTAGCTATTCCAGCAGCATCTCAGAGTTCTGGCCCATCTGCACCATGCTCTGTGAGGCTGGGACTTGGCCTGAGAAGGCAGAGAGTAGGGACAAGGAGTACTCTGGAGAAGTGAAAACATTTTGTTTTGAGCTTTCTGGATGTATGCAAGACAGGAAATTCCTCAACTCTCCTGAGGCAGCCAGCTGTCCCAACTGCAATCCAATCAGGAAGATGAGATAGTCTATACATTTCTAATACTGAGTCCCCCAAGCCCACTCCAGGGCCTCCTAGCAAGGTCCTTTGGCTGCCCCCCATCTAAAACAGCAGGGCCTGAGCTGAGGGGGTGGGGAATGGCAGGAACCTGAGAGCCCTGTTGCTGCAGACCATGGAGCTTACCTATCCCCATTTCTCCAGAGCTTCTGCTCTTGCTCCGGTGGCTATACTGCTCTGGAGGAAGCTTCATCTACCCTCTAGGTTTTCCCAGCTTCTCCCCTTGCTTAGTCCCTGAGGCTGGAGAGCTCTGGTGGGCCTGATTTTGTTTTCATTGGTTAGAGATAAAATTTCAATGTCAAGTGTGGAGTTAGACCTTGCCCAGGTAAGGAAACCATGCCTAGGACCCCAGGCTTGCTGTTGAAGTCTGGTGTTTGTGGCTCTGTGCTGATAAAAACCCAGAGTCCCTCTAACTTTAATTTTAAGTTAGAGATACACTACCTGTATTAGTCTGTTTTCTGTTCCTATAATAAAATACCTGAGGCTTGGTGATCTGTGAAAACAAAATTTTCAGCTTAATGTTCTGGAAATCTAAAAGCACGGCACCTCCTCTTCTCCTGGTGAGGGCCTCGTGGTGTGGCATGTCACGGTCAAGAAGTGGGAAAGGAAGTGTCATGTGTGGGAGAAGCATGTGTGCCAAACAGACCAAAAGAGGTACCAAGCTCATTTTAGAACAACCCTCTATCATGATAGCTAACCCAGGTCCATAAGACCAACTCACTCCTGAGAGGACTAATCCAGTATCAAGAACCTTATCCAGTCTCTTGAGAAAGATGTGAATCCAAGGGCCAGGGATTTGACTCAGTGGTTCCAGCACCCACCTCACAAGCACAAGGCCCCAAGTTTGATCCCAGGTACCCCCCCCCCAAAAAAAAGACGTGAATCCATTCACGAAAGTGGCAACCCTATAACCTAATTGCCTCCCTGGGGTCCCACCTCCCAACACCACCATATGAGAAATCACATTTCAACAATGGGCCAGAGGTGCAGATCTGGCACAGACCTTGGCTAATATGCCCGAGGCCTTGAATTTAACCTCCAGTGCCATACCATGCACACATGAAAAAAAGTAATAAAATATTTTTTCAACGTGAGTTTCAGTGGGTTCAAATCATAGCACTAATCTTCCTAGTCTTAAGCCCTGTACCCACCAAGACCAAAAAACCTGACAACAGTCAAAGCCAGCTGGTTCACAGGACTAATGGAAATATAGGCACTGAGCACTGGGGACTTGTCTGGTACCAGGTCTGTCCTGCTTACAAAGTAGATAGCACTTCATCTCCTGGAGGCGGGGTTGACGCTCAGCTTGGGGAAGAATCCCGAGCTCAGCTCCACAGAGGACTGAGGGGAGAGTGTGTCAGGCGCACACCAACAAAGTCAGTCTGTCTGCTTCACCCACCGGTGCACAGTCTCCCTCTTTCCAACAGGTTGGTCTTTTTTCTCCCAGTTTTTGTTTGGATATTATTAATACCTTATTTCTCTGAAAACAGGACCAGGTCTTAAGTTAATTTTTGTTCCAAAAGTTAAAATAAGGCTTATTTTCCAGTAATATCTTACTGGCATAAATCTTGAGTTCCTCTGTCACATAGGCATTTATTTACCTCTCATCCAAAGGTGCCTGCTTGGGTGTTTACAAATGCTTCATTATAATTTATACTATCATTTATTTTAAATATTAATGCTAATAATATTACTTACATTATGTAGTCTTTTATAATTCAATACGTCTATCGTGTGTTGCCATAGATGTGCTAAATGTGTCCATCTGGCTGATGATCTTAGCTGGAATTTATTTTGAGGGTAGGGCTTATATTCCAAGCAGCCTGAGTGAGACCACTTAGGTCTTATTCTCAGGAAAATACAGTGTATGGTAAGCTGAGTATATTTAAGGTGTTCCGTGAGTTTTGACGGTTCTACATCCATGAAACCTCCACTATGTCCTAAAAGAATGAGTATCTCCATGACCCCCAAGTATTTCTTCAGCCCCTTTATAATCCAGCTCCTCGATCCCTGCCCAAGCCACCGCTGATCTGCTTTCTGTTACAGTACTGTAGATGGGTTTGTGCCCCTTATTTGTCCAGCTTCTTCACTCAACATATTGTGAAATTCATCCCTATTGTGGTATCTCTCAATACAGTGCTTCATTTATTTTTTTTTCTCATTGAGTTTCTTGGTACATTCCAGGTATACAGTACAGTTACATCCATCATTGGGATCTTGTACCTTTACATGACAGGTCTTGGTTCTCATTTTTCCCCATACCCCCACCCTCCCCTCACCCACTCCTCCCTTCCCTATTTACAAACACTTTATTTCCATTTTTTCATTTTCTCATATTTTTTTTCTTTTCCCTTATTTCCTTTCCCTTACCTTCCCATTTCCCCTACACCTTTAGCCGTTTTCTTCCTGTTTCACCTTGTCAATTATACCATTAGGACCTTATGTACAATTATAGTTTTTCACACCAGAGAAGCTATTCGGTATTTACACATGTGTGACTTATATATTTCACTTAGGAGTATATCCTCCGTATGCATCCATTTTCCTACGCATGACTCTTAATTTCTCATTCTTTATGGCTGAGTAATACTCCATGTTATAGAAAAGCCACATCTTCTTTATCCAATCTCCATGGGCAAATGGACTGTTTCCAAGTTTTAGCTATTACAAATTGTGTCGCTATAAGCATGGGTGTGCATATATCACCGTGGTATGATTCTTTTAACTCTTTTGGAAAGATACCCAGGAGAGGGATGGCTGGGTCAAATGGAACCTCTAATCCTAGTTCTTCATTTATTTTGATTGCTTAGTAGTATTCTAGCGTGTGAATATATCAAATATTTTTTTAAATGTATTGGCCTACTGACAGGCATTTGGGTCATTTCCAGAATAGGGCTATGAATGCTGTGAACAAGACTTTGCACAGCTATGTGCTTTCATTTCTCCCAGGAGATGAATGACTGGTTCATATAAGAAATACATATTTAGCTTTCTGAGAAAGTGTCAAGCTTCTTTTTAAAGAGTTGGTTTTTTGGGGTTTTTTTTTAAGAAATGGGGCTGGAAGTGTAGCTCAGGGATAGAGTGTGCTTCCATAGCATGCGTGAGTACTGGATTCAGTCCCTAGAACCAAGAAGAAGAAAAGAACCTATTTACTTGTGTATATTGTATACATAGAACATCTCGACAAGGTGATCAAGAAACTGAAAGTTGGCTGCCTTTGGGGAGGATGTTTGATGTCTGGGAATGGATGGGAGTCTTTACACAGGCTCTTTGGCACCTTTAAAATTTTGTGCTATGTGAGTATATCAGTAGTCCCAAAAGGTAAATAAAACTTAAGGGGGAAAAACACTCAGAGGATGTAAAGTATTAACTTCCCCCCCTTAAGGTTCTCTCGAGGCACCAAAGTCTAGGTTGGCCATGGCACTCCAGAAATCTCATTGTTCGTTCCCTGATATCAAGCAAGGGTGCTCTAAGGTCCAGTACAGCATCAGGGTATGTCTTGCTCCTCATGACCTCCATGGCTTCCAAATACTCTGTTAGAATCTGAGCCTCAGCATAGTTGTGTACTGAGTGGTCATTTAGTCTGCTTGTTAAATACATGAATGAATAAAAGAATGTTCACCCATGTCCTGTTGTCTACCACACAGAAAAGAAGAGTGACAGGAAGAGTGGCCTTTTGCCCCTGGCTCCCACCAAGCCCACTGCACCCGTCTTCCTGCAGGGCCTCTCTGATCTCCGAGTCATGGATGGAAGCCAGGTTACCATGACAGTGCAGGTGTCAGGTCTGTCTGGGTGTCCCTCTTCTTGGGGCATATGTGGGAATGGTCATGGTTGCAACGTGAGCATTAGTACCAAGGCCTTGCTCAAACCATGGACCCACCTAAAAATCAGTATGGGGCCAACAGGCAATAGGCCCATACAAATGTGACCTCTTGGCCTCTCTTTACTGCTTCTCTGGGTGGGATTTTTTGGATTCAAGGTTAACCAGGCTGGGGAAGAAAATGGCCAAAGATAGAGGCATGAAAATGGTGCAAACGAGATTATATGAGAGCTTCCCAGCTCTCAGAAGATGCTCTCATTGCTCTATTCAAATTTTAAGGTGGAAAGAAACAGCAGAGGTCCCTCTAGAAGAGGGGCATGGAATAAATGCACGTGGCACCCTCTTCTGAGATATCCCAGTCCTTGCTGGAGAAGCCAGGGCCTTCCCTGGCTCTGTGCTTGTGGCTCAGACAGTTGTAGCTGCCCCTGAGTGCAGTGAAGTCTGTGGCTCCCGATCAGTGCCTCTGACAACTTGGGGGTCACTTTCCTGTTCTCTTAGCTCCTCTTGAACTGCAGAAGCAACAAAATAAGCTGTGAGAGAACCCAGGGGCTCACCTTTGTAGGGATGCTCAGATGATCTCCCAGTTTCTGCAGGCTAGAGGCCATGGCAGCCCCAGGCATGGTTGGGTCCCCTCCCGTCCACCCTCATGCTGGGTGGAAGAGACTGTGAGACTCCAGGCATGCAGTATCTAACCTCCTGCAGACAGGTGACCACCGGCTCACACTCAGTGAAGCTTTTCCAGGGCCTAATGCCCCTAACCTGCCTTGGCAGCCCATTCCACGGGCCTCGCTCTTCTGGAAGAAAGTCACTCAAACCTTCATCAGAACTCTCACCTCTGTGTCCCAACAAATTCCAGAAATGCAGACTGGTAAAAACTGACAATGTTATCCCCAAGACCAATGTTTGGGAATGCTGTGCAAGCTGATGTCCTGGGAAAACATTTGCACGCTAACAAAATGAAATGCTACCTGAGCTGTCTTTCTGGTAACAATCTGCAAGGACGTTGTCATGACATTGCCGCTCGCCTGCACATGGATGCTCACTGTAGAGCAGCAAACGTGAAGTTTGAACCCAGTGACCCAGTTACCACTTAGAATTATACAGCTCTATCAATTCTAATTTTACAAACCATTTTTCCTGGGTTTTCTTTTTCAATTCTGAAATCATATTTTTACTTGTAGATCCATTCTAGTTTCCCCAGATTTTTTTTTTTTAGTGATCATAATGAACACACATCGTCTGTGTGTATGTGTTTGTGTGAAATGCTATTCTAATGAGCAGCAGAAGGATTCACTCAGGCTTTCCAGTGAGCCCACAGGGTCAGTACCGTTAGAATCCCCACTCTTCAAGTGGGGCAGCTGAAATGTAGAGTTGGAGGACATGCTTCGCACAGTACTTCAGAACTAAGTGCAGAGCCATCACCGGGCCAGGGAAGGAACTCCCTGACTAGCCCCCTGCCCTCCTCTTGCTGCAGGGAATCCGCCCCCTGAGGTCATCTGGCTTCATAACGGAAGTGAGATCCAGGAGTCGGAGGACTTCCACTTTGAACAGAGAGGCACCCAGCACAGCCTCTGCATCCAGGAGGTGTTCCCTGAGGACATGGGCACCTACACCTGTGAGGCCTGGAACAGCGCTGGGGCGGTGCGCACCCAGGCTTTGCTCACAGTCCAAGGTGAGGCTGCAGCCGCCAATAAGGTGGAATCACTGCCGTGGCCACGCCCAGTCTCATAGGGAGCGCCCTATCAGACACCTCCAGCTCTGGATGGGTAGAGCTTTCTGAAGTCCTCGCCCGGGGCTGGGTTGCTTTAGTCCTGCATAGAGCACTAAGAGGGGAGCCTGCAACACACTTAATCTACAAAGATAGCTTTTGAGATGAGTTCTGGGCTCACTGGTCCTTGCCATATGCAAGGACTTGAGAAACAAGCACAAAAACAGGGTATGACAGCTCCTGGTCAGATGGGTCTGATGGGGGTCACAGCATCTACCTGGGCTTGTATCTCTGGGCTCTTTCCTCTCACCTTGGATGTGCAAATTCATGTTAATAATATCCTCAGCCAATGGACCCAAGACAGATTTTTAGAAAGGTGTGCTGTGTTTGTCTGCTGGGGGTGATTTCCAGACCCGCTGCTGTCTTCCATCCCTTCTGTGGGGAACGGAGTGGGTTCCTTGCGCTGAGAGGCCTCCCTCTCTAGCTCTTCCCTCTCCTGAATTCCAGAGCCACAAGATGGCACCCAGCCCTGGTTCATCAGCAAGCCTCGCTCAGTGACGGCCTCCCTGGGTCAGAGTGTCCTCATTTCCTGTGCCATTGCCGGTGACCCCTTTCCCAGCGTGCACTGGCTCCGCGATGGCCAAGCCCTCTCCAGGGACAGCGGCCATTTTGAGGTGCTGCAGAATGAGGATGTGTTCACCCTGGTCCTGAAGAACGTGCAGCCCTGGCACGCCGGCCAGTATGAGATCCTGCTCAGGTGAGTCTGCTGCTGTCCCTCAACCCTTCCGCCCGTTCCCTGGGCTTCCTTAACCTGGAGCTGGACAGTCACAGGAAGCTTGGGCTTCAGGATGAAGCGAGTGCAGGCCTGGAGCAGAACAGGTGCTCAGGGAGAGCTTCTGGCTGAGGTCAGTTCCCCAGGAGCCTCTGTCTTAGTACCTCCTAGGCTTCACACATCATGGGGTGTGGAGAGAATATGAAAGAGGAAGGAATGGAGTCAAGGTGGGAACGTGGGAGAGCAGAGGGATCATGTTTGTTATCCGCTGTTCTGTTGTTATGTCACAAATTACCCCAAAACTTAGCAGTTTGAAACCACAAACATTCATTATCTCACAGTTTCTGTGAGCTGACCAATGGGTCTTTTTTTCTATTACTATGACAGAATACCTGAGGGTGGGAAACTTTATAAAGGAAAGAGTTTTATTTAGCTTATGGTTCTGGAGGCCCAGGACCAGGGGGCCACATTTGGTCATTGCCTTCTTGCTAGGAGGGTCTTAGGGTGGTGCAGGGCATTACATGACAAGAGACAGGGAGAACGTGTGGCCTCTAGTGTTCAGTTCTGGCACCTCACCCCATAACGTTATTTATCTCTCAGCCTCTGTCCAGAGGTCACAGAGCTAAACACCATAGTAGGACTAAGTTTCTACTGTCCTAGTACCTTACAGTAGGAGGGATCAGTTTCATCACATGAGCTCTGGGGATACACCCAAACCACATCCAAATCATAACAGCTATGAATTTGGAAGCGTTCTGTTTTTGTTTTTGTTTTTAAGTTGCAGTCAAGATGTCTGGAAGAGCCACTTCCAAGACAGTTTGGCTCCTTGCTGTTGACCTCTCCGCAAAACTGCCTGAAGTTCTTCATGACATGGCAGCTGGCTTCCCCAGAGCTAGTGACCCAGGGAGAGAACACAGTTCAAACCTGCAATATCCTTCGTCACCTGCTCTCGGGAGCCACGCAGCATCACTCCCACATTGCTCTTATGAGAAGTGAATGGCTAAGTGGGGCCCACTCTGAAGAGAACTAGGTGCCACCTCTCAGAGTAACAGAATGCACAGCACTTTAAAACTACCACAGACAGGTTACCTTTCCCCATTCATATTTTCTCATCTTTTCCAAGTCTTGCTAGGTTAGCTGGAAATGCCAGTCAGTTTGACCACAGTCCTAGAACAGAGTCTGGCCTGTTGTTAGCATTTACAAGCTATTTTTAAGTGAATGTGATCTGAAAGAATGCTCTCTGGTCTTTTAAAAACGCTCCAGGTCTCAAAATTCTGTACCAACCCTGGATTGATAGAGATGTGATGCTGGCCCTGGATGCTAGGATTGGTGATTAAGGGCACCTGTCTGCACCTTGACCTGAAAATGGGACATTGTGCCATCCTGAGGGTCAGATGTCTGGCCACTTTTCAAGGAGCTTTCTCTCCTAGACTTTCTTAGTCCCATACTGAGCCCTTCATACGCAAGACCTTGACCTACAAGTGAGTTCTGTCTCTATGTACCAGGGCTACTGCCGTGATGGAACAGCGTGTCTACAGTAATGGAAAAACCTGGTATGGGCCCCATCCCTTCAGGTCCTTTTTGCACTTGTACTTTATGCTTGTACCAGCTAGCTTTTGCTGCATAACAAACCACCCCAAAACAGTAGCACTTTTAAAGAACTTTTATAAATGCTAGTCATTATTTCTCAGGAGTCTTTGGACCTGCCAGGAAGATCTGCTAATCTGATCAAGGCTTAGTGGATCTCAGCTGAGCTTAGTTACCTGCTTATGAATCGCTGTGGGCTGCTGGTCACCCTTCAACCAGCAGCAATATTCTCAGAACCCATCAACTGCCTGTGCCTTACATTTGAGCCCATTATTACAAGAGGAGACCACATTCCTAAGCCATCAAAGAATGAAAACTGATTGGATGTGAAAATACTCTCAGATGAGCTGTCTGCATAGAAGGAGTAGTACTCTTGAGACGATACTCATATTAATCAACCAGACATTCTAGAGGAGATGAGCTTTTTATGGGTTTTTGAGGGAAAAATGAAAGTTGAATCTTGGCCAGTAAGAAAGGGCTTTACTATTCAATAGGCTGAGCAAGAAAGGTTAGGAGTGGGAAGGGAGAGAGAAGTGAGGGGCTGTGGAATTTTTCCAGGCCAGAGAGGACTGCACTGGGAGGTCAGCAGGCAGACTGGGGCCAGCTGGGAACAATCATGAAATTTAGCTTGTCACAGCTGGAAGGTACTTCAAAAGCTATCACTCCTCCTTCTCCTTTAATAATGGGGGAAACTGAGGTCTCAGTTCATGGACTTGCTCGTGGCTATCCAAAGGCCATGAGCAGAGCTCAAGTTTTGACTTGACTCAGATGGTCGTCCATTCTTACGGCCTAGCATGGGGAGTTTCTCTCAAGTGCACCAGGAATTGGGGGGCCAAGGAAATTACACTGATGCCTCTATCCTAAAGCCCTTGTTTCTTTCCCTCCCCAAAATCTAGCCTCTTCATTCCTCTGGAAGACTGTTGCCCTGACCTTGCCTTGTCCTCAGTTGAAAAGGAGCAAGTCAGTGGAAAGTTCTTCCAAGGAGAGTATGTCAGGCCTGCCAGGGGCCATGCTCCCTTCCCACTGTCAGTGTCCTGATAGAAGTCAAACCTAGCCCCAGGAAGAAATGCTTTTCCAGGAGGAAGACTGGATGGAAGGACCAAGATGTCACGTGTGTGTGGGTGTGGGTGTGTCTGTGTGTCTGTGTCTGTGTCTGTGTGTCTGTGTGCGTCTTATCTGTTCCGGCTAAAGTCAAGAGACAGGGATGAGTGAGTTTCTGCCTCCCCTCTCCTTCTCTATCTCTTATCTCCTATACCAAAAGGGGAAATAGCAAAAAGTCAGCTCCAAATTCAGCTGAAATGATTGAAAAATTAATATATGCCAGGAAATTAGTTCTTGAAACTAGTTTTGCTTCTAAGACCATCCCAGGGGTAGGTGATTGATGATGGGACAGGATCCAGAGTTTTGTAACCAGATGGGTGTCTTGTTTGGGGCTCAGAAAAGGGGGGCAGAGTGCACTTGGAGTTTGTGAAAGGTGAGGGGTGGCAGCTCCAAGTGCTCTGTGGCAACACCAGGATGTGGCCTGAGCCTCAGCCCCAGACCTGAGTTGGTAATGGTGTGTGCAAATGTCCAAGACTCCCTGAGATGCTGCCTGGCTGGTTAGGTTATCCTCGTGTGGGACCCAGGCAAGAGAACCTTCTGACCTTTGTAAGCTCCACTGTTACAGAAGGATTTGGCAAGTGACACACAAGAGAGGAAGCAGAATGGAAGTAAAATAAAAAAGTTTACTCCATCGATGGGGATGGATCACACCTAATGGCTGTGCCCTGATTGACTCCCTCATTGGGTTACAACTCCTTCTTTTATAGGTTTTTACAGCTTTGATCTTATTCAGTTGGTTACACTGCATTTTCACAGATACCCAAAACATGATAGCAAGGCAATTGAATTTCAACCGGGATGCAGTTCTTAGGGAAGTTATCTTTAAGATTTATTCAATGATCTACTCTAGCCAGGGGGAAGGGAGCAGGTTTAGTTAACAAAGCTAACAATGGTTTTTTCACTTACAAATTTTAGTGAGAGACCAGGTGTCTCCAGTACTGGTTAATTCTGAACCAAGCAAAGTGAGGGGCAGAGGTTATCTTACATTGTGACATTTCCTAAGTCTTCGCTGTTAAAGTTTTCCCTATCATTCCTCCCTTTGTTTTGGGGGGTAACTCCTTACCCCTCATTATATTTATACCAATTCTCATTGTTCCATGTAGTTAGCATCTGGTACTGTTGAGCAACAGCTATGCTCTAATGTATGGATTTTGATACCCATACTACCATACAGGGACCAAACATGAGGAGCAGCAGCATAACAATAATTGGTCCTGCGAGGGAGCTGACCCAAGCATGCCATCCTGACAAGTTAAGGCCAAAATTGAATGTAGGGTCGTCAGTACCAAACTCTTTTCTTAGCAGTCAAACACAATCTATTAATTTATCTAATGATTTTTTTAAATATTTTTTGTATAGTAACAACATTCTTCTCTTGGAAACAGATAAGTTTCTCTTCTTTGTTCAGTGAGCAATTTAAGGGCTTTTCTATTTTGTATACTATATTAGCTAATGAATCTGAGTTTCTAAAGCTTGAATTGTATCTCGCACTTTTCTTCTTTTCTAATCTGTCCCAAAGCCATAAACCATTATTATTCTAACCTGAGAGCTATAGCACTTAGAGACTTCCTGTTACAGCCAATCCTGTTAGTATGGGGAGGACAATTTTGCACCCCCCTTTTTGAACTAAACCATTTGCCGTAGAAATTTGTAAAGGCATCTTTCTCATAGCTTAAGGAGTATAGACAGACAAGTTGGGTATTAGGATCTTCAGAGCACATAAACCAGTAGAACACTTCGAAATCACCTTAAAACATCATTTCCATGGAGAAAGTTCCATTTTGGCATAGTAATACAAATGGTAGAAGACAAATCAACAATATCAGCGCAGACAGCTGAGACATTGTATGACTTTCAGATACCAAGAAAACAAGTCCCATTCTTAATTACATCTAATGGGTAGCTGAGCAAAGGATACATAGAAGCTTTACTGGTTCTAAGGGCAGGCCATTCATGATGCCAATTGCTTGATAAGTAATCACAGTGAGTGGTGCGCAAATCTAGCAATCAGAGGCTAATTCCTAGTTTCTCTTTAGCAGCAGTGAATGAACGACTACCATCAATCAAGTCCATCATATCTATTATCTGTTTCTGTATAATTTTGGATGCCCTTTAAGATATTCTTATTTCCTGCAGTGCAGTAGTTTTCCCTATTTTTGGAGGAGATCTTTTTAAGCCTTTTTAATCTGCAGAATCTATGTTTTTAACTTTTGAGGCCCATGCCTATCAGTTGATACCCAATATAAACGTAAAAAACTATTCCTTGTGGTCAGCTTCTCAAGACCAAGCTATATACA